GGGGCAACTCGGGGAGGGGGGGGGGGGAGGCGGGGGGGGGGGGGGCGCGAGGCGGCCGACGAGAAGGGAGTCTGGTGGAGGCGGAGCCGGCGCTCGAGCCCGGCCGGCCTGGACTTCGCGCAGCACGGCGGCCGCTGCCGCCGCCGCCAACCACCGTCCCACCCAGAGCAGCAGCAGCTCCTGGTAAGTCTGGCCTGGATGGCCTTGCCCTGGCGCATTCCCGAGAGAGAGAGCGAGAGAGTGTTATTCACTAAGGGATCTAGGCCGCGTTGGGTTTGGGGGGCGCCAGGCCTGGATAGTAGGGAAAGGTGCGGCCTCCAGTGAGAGGAGTCCTAAGGCCTGTTTCGCCCTCGCCGCCGCGGCCTCTCTGTCTCTCTCGCTCGCCTTTTGTTCCGGTTTGGTGCTGTGGCTTGGCACCGCCCGGGCCTATAAAGGAGCGGGGGGGGGAATGGGGAAACGGAGGACGGTAGCCCCGCGAAGACGCTCTCCCGAGAGTTTTCTCTCAGTCCCCAGCGGAGCGGGTGGTGCCCCACATTGCAACCTCCGCCTCGTTAGCCACATCTCCCCCCCCCCATCAAGAATAGTGGGATGGGCTATCCGGAGCTGTAAGGAGGTCGGATGATAACCACTCCATTTCTCCCAGACCCTAAATGACGAGAAGCTAGATGAGGCACCGGTTGGCTTCCCCCCCCCCTTTTCCCCCTCTACAGTTCAGGAGCGTTTTGGAGGTGTGTGGCGGGGAGTCGGGCATTTAAACTTCCGCAGAGCGTTACGCCTTCCTTCTGAGCCTTGTTTGTTTGTTTTAAAGTACCTATCCAAACCGACCCACCCCAGTTTTTGATATTCAGGACCAACGGCAAGATGAGGGGTCATTTTAGCTGCTTCGGTGTAGAGTTGTGTTTTTTAAAACACTCAGCAAAAGGAAGAAATAACGCTGAGAGAATAGAGCAAAGGCTGGATTGGAGGGTGATGATGTCTGGGAGGGTGTTCGAACTACTATCATATGAAATCTTCCATCATTTCCACACTCATGTCCTGAAGTTGGCATCTTAACTTTCTTAATCAGATTTGAGTCAATTAGTTTTCCTGGTATTTAATTATTTATTTTATTTAAAATATTTTACCTCACTTTTCTCCTTAAAACAGGCAAGGTGATACAACCAATGATTAGTAGAGCATATTTTTCTGCCATCTGCTTCCATTTTGAATAGTGTCTCTGACTTAATTGAATGAAGTTGTGGGGCTAGTCCCTAAGTGAAGAAGGTTAAGAGTAGTGCACTTGATTTGATTTGTCAATTTCCATATAGGAACATTCTCTTCCCTCCCCACAACCCAACCAAAGTGTTTTAGTGCTATTAACTTGAGGCCCATCATGTTCCTAAATGGCTGCAGTTCTCACAAATTAGGAAACGAGCATTATTTCCAGGTAAGAGTTTAGGAGTAGGATGCTTGATTCCACTCAAAAGTACCGTACAAAAACAGTAGCATAGTTGCAAATTAAAATATGCTTGTGGTTATTATTATAGTTTGTGATAACTTTATTAAGCCACTAGTGCTCTGAACAAATTTGAGATATAGTTTTCATTCCTTGTCCAACTTCTCTTTCTTTAGCACAATTGCCCAATTGATTAGAATAATGGAGGAAATGTGTTGCAGATGTTGTGCTGTTATTTTGACCACTGAAGGATGCAAACAATGTACGTCTCTCTAGGTATCAGTCTTCTGACACACATTCCTTATTCCAAACTTTGGTCCCCATAATAGAGAAAGAGTTTACAGTGAATTCTAAGATTACTTTTGAGGGATTTTTTCAAAGTCAAAGTTCTATGGACATTCTGGACATAAGATCAGATAATTTCTAGTAGAACAGTTTCTCATATTGGGAACAGTGGGTAGGAAGATTACCTTTGTTCTGGATTGACCTAGCTGTTTGCCTGTTGTTGCTTTTAAAAATAGTAGGTGAGTGATAATGGCTAGAAAGAAGTGCAGGCCACAGAACTAAATATTAAACATATAGAAATAAACATTCACTAAAAAGTGAAGGAAAAGTTTTCTTTGTTTATAAGAATTATTTTCAATCAAGTTGATTTTGACTTCTATATTTTTATTATTCTTTGTCTGTTAGCCGCCTAGAGTGGTCCTTAGTTGACCAGATAGGCGGGATATAAATAAAATAAATAAATAAATAAGATACCCACCTAGGTACAACTTACTCAGAGACAAATCGCCAGCCTTTCATTTTTGTGGTCACACAGATAGCAAGGCATGTAGCCTCATCAGCCACACATATTGCAGGTGATCTCAGCTGGTCCCTCTCTTTTGGGGGGGGGATCAAGAGGATTTCAACTCCCACAGCCTGGTTCATCAGCCAGGTGCTCCAACCCACTGAACTGTGTCTTTGTTGTTGATGGTTCACTAGAATTCCACCCCCAGCTCATTCAAGTGTTACATGCCACTAATTAGTGGCATGCCACTAACGTGCTGATGATGCCAAGATTTTGATACCTAACACCATGAAAATCAGCATCCTTGAATACTGTATTAATTCAATCTTGAATTGGATGAGGGTGAGCAAGCAAGCTAAAATTGAATTCTGACAAGATGGAGGAGGCTGACAAGATGGAGGTGCCACAAACAGCCTGGGGCTAAGGGAGGGCTGGTCCCACCATTATTAACTCAACCAGATATTAGGATTTTCAGGAGAGGCCTTTATAAACAGCTGCAGAAGCCTACCTGACAGGCATGTGGGAGAAATCTTTATCCTCTTTCAAGGCTAACATACTTCTCTCAGATTTGGAGTTAACTTCCACTCTCACTGTTTTTAGGAAAGATGTGAGTACTGTATGTCCTTCTGCAAGCAGATGAAGACTTTTCTTTTCAAGCAGTCTTTCCCTTAGTGACTGGATGTCTGAGATGGTTTTTTTAATAGATTGTTGTGCCTTGTTGCTTTTAAATGTGTTTGTGTGTGTGTTGATTTTATTTCCCATTTTTATTCGTTTGATTTTTAAGAATATTGGTATAGTTACTGTTTTTAGCTTTTAAATATTGTCTTTTAATTATGTAAGCTGCCATGTGCCCCTTTTAATAAGAAAAGTGGGGTAAA